CGGTATTCTAAATGCCCGGAAAACAGCAAATTCATACTTACTTCACTTAAGGGTTTAACTTTTTATTGCCGCAAGTAACCAGAGCCGGCTTTATCCGACCTTGTGGTGATGACAGTTTGACCGACTCCATTCACACATAACATGTTTTATATTAATTGTTATTAATTATTATATATCTATGTATGTTCAAAAGTAAATACGAGAAAAAGTGGTCCGGCCATAGCCGGTGTTGCCGGTGCGGTTCCGACACCCCTGAGAAGTGGGCCCAAAACTGACCCCCCCCCCCTGGGGGATGCCATAAGTGTGTGTGGTGTATATGAGGCATAATACACTCACTGTGTCCTGTTACAAAGGTAATTGGACAACTAATTCAGGACCTTCTCACCAATTACAAAGTCAGATACAAGCCGATCGACGCCCATGTATATACTGAAACAGAACAAAAAGAACTCGGAAAATCCTGACGCCGAATTCCGTTTCCCTGTATTTTGTTCCATTCACTGTATTTTGTTACGTCAAAAGCTATTGTATTGTACTTAATTTTAAAACGTGGGCTAAATTCCTTTAATAATAAATCTTCGTATTTGTATTGAATTTGTTGGTTTTATTTAAGTTCTTTTATTCGTTTCATAAAACCAGCAAAACAATGGCAAAAAAAGGGAAATCCTAAAACTAAATCAAATATCAAGTGGATTACCTAGCTCATGTGGATTACCTTACCTATTGATTGTTGCACAATATGAAATCGAGTGTTAAGACCTCTAAAATCCAATTACCAATTACCTCTGTAATAAGGTAGTATAGTATGGTAAATGCGTAGAAAAAAATAAGTAGAAATAGCGCCTCGTGGCACTTATGCTTTCATGATATCCTTCTGTCAGTAAGATGGACAAAGTAGAAGAAAATTATTGTCTTGGAGGTATGTTTGTAATTGTGTACTCACAATACGTTCTAAAATATTTGAGAGGTATAGTACATTGAAAAAAGGCCGGTTGTCAATCTAGGTTTGTGGTGCTTGAGTATTGGATTTCAGATGCAGTTTTCAGTACTGTGGAAAATTTGCCGACTTAAATTAAACTAAGATTGACAATGTGTGTTAGAACTGGAGGCAGTATATCAAGAAATTGCTTCATCAGTACAGAAGATGGCAAATGCTCAAGTTAGATGAAGATATCAACATACGAACTTCATCCATGTTAAAAGTTCCAAACATTCAAAAGAAGAAGCACAGGAATTTGAGAGGGTGATGTCAATAACAGAAGAGGAGGAGTAGTATTAGACCACTTAGTTGTATATTTGAATGCAGATTAGAGATCCTCTTGTTAAACGCCTCAACAAACTGATCAGCGAGAGCTGGCCCTTGTTAACATGGGACGGCAACACAACTTTTGGGTTCACAGTTAAGATCATCAAATCATTTGGAAGAGATGGCGTTGGCTGCTAGCTCTGACTTTCGCTCTATGGTAGGCCCTAGTTACATTTAATTTTATCCGAGTATCCTGTAATCCCGGCAAGTTTCATCATAATATAGCTATACCTCTATGAACTTCAAGATGTGTTTACTTAAGAACCCGGCCCCAAAACATTTACTGAGAAATATCGGGTTGGTTCCGGGCGGCCATTTTTTTCCGTACGAAACATTTGTATTAAACTTCATTCGGACCATCTCGGATTGACTCGTAAGTTCGATACGAGGAACAAGAGCAGACACTTCGCAATGTCGTGACGCTCGAGTTTTACTATTATTGCTCTATCTATGTTTACCTACGGTAGGGCTATGATATCTTACGGATTTATGGGATGTACGTGTGTACTAACTGTGACCTTCTTGGATGTTTATTAAATGTTAGTATAATATCTACAACAACAACAACAGCTAGTACCCCCTTTTATAAAGTGTTGATAGGTACAGTAATACCAGAGGCTATAGAGAAAGATGATAAACTATGGGCCTAACTACAGGCTAAGTTAAATCCTACCTAGTATATAGGCCTAGGGTCCTAGGCTGACACCAACAGTCACGCTTTACATACAGACGTTGATTGAAATTTTGAAAAAAATAATTAAAGCATGAAATAAAAAATAGAGTGCATACGATAAATATTATTAAATAAATAAAATATACCATTCGGCGGCGTTATTGAACTTGACCAAACTATCATTGTAATGTAATTAATGTTAAATAATAATAATAATAATAATAATAATAATAATAATAATTTCAGCATTAATTACCTTGACCTAAGCCTTGTAATGAAGAACCATACTATTTACTAGGCCTATAATAAATAATAACTAGCCCAGGGGGGAATATCTTTTTTGTTATTTCCCTTAACGTCGATTTTTTAATTGTTCTCTAATTCCTTCATTGTCTAAGTTCCCCTTAAGTTAGGCCTACAGGTTGGTTTTAGTAACATAATAATAAATAATAATAATAATAATAATAATAATACTAATAATAATAATAATAATAAAATAATAATAATAATAATTTCAGCATTAATTACCTTGACCTAAGCCTTGTATACTATTTACTAGGTCTATAATTAATAACTAGCCCAGGGGGAATATCTTTTTTGTTATTTCCACTTAAAGTCGATTTTTTAATTGTTCTCTAATTCCTCCATTGTCTAAGTTTCCTTTAAGGTAGGCCTACAGGTTGGTATTAGTAACATAATAACAATAATTAATAATTAATAATAATAATAATAAATAATCATTTCGGCATTACATGTAATTAACCTGGTCTAGTCTTGTAATCAAGAATCTGCAGATTACTATGCCTGATATTAATAACTAGGCTTAGGCCTCATTTATACATTCATTAGTGCTCTGCCATTTTGGCAGGTCTTATGGCATCCAGTATTTAGAGCTGCCTCTTCTCAGCTCTTCTCTTAATTTGAAAATAACTGTCACCCTGTTTCATTTGATCAAACGCCCCGAGAAACGCGCTTTTCCTTACTCTCTGTGCTTTCCCCAGAAAGCGTATATTTTTTGTAGTTAGGCCTAGGTAATTATGCAAAACCCAGGCCTAACTAAAAAATAAAAATTGTCACAGTATGTAACTCAAATTAAAATAACACTTTTTTACTCGTGCAGCTCAATCAAATATTATGTCATTTTAAACGACCCATTAGTATTAGCATGGTTAAACATCAATGTATTTTTAAAAAATTAGACAGCGACGTTCTCTCAGATCAGAAGTTGTTGATGACCTTTTGACCTGAATTCTGCAATATGAGATTTTCGGGTCGATTCAGTCGAGACGGCCCGAGTGGAGTTTCATGTAAATGTTTCGTACGGGGAAAAAATCGCTTCCGGGCGGGCGCGGGCGGGGAATAGTTTTCCACCATAGTTTTTACTACTGTATTTGTAGCCTTCGTGTACGTAGGCCTATATTGTTTATTGTATTAGCAGAACCATATTGTACGTGTCATCTCTTATCCTGCCTAAATATGTTTTAATAAAAAATAAATAAATAAAATTTGCGCAATATAAATGAATAACCTTTAACCTTTAAAAGGCAATTCAAATATTGATCGATTTTTGTTTTATTTAGCTCATGTCACTCTGTCTCTATAGATGGTTTACACATTAAGTTTTAACTTAACAACTAATGGACCTTTCCGCTAACCCCCGTCCCTTGGATATTGTTGCTAAGGTCCCACAAGACGCGTCAAGTTGGACAAGTGCGTATTCCTGGCACTGTTCTTATTGGTCAGTTGCTAAGTTTAATTGACACTCCGGGGGAAGATTATTGTAAAACGGTCTTAACTGGATTAAAAAGTCACAAGATTAACACTTACTGTGTTAATTGTTCCTAGCTACAGTAGTTGGAGCTATTTAACTAGGAACGAACACGGTAGGTGTTAATCTTGTGACTTTTTAATCCATGTTGCCTTCTTAGGTTTGTCTACTTTTGTATATTGTTGTTCATTTGATCTTGAGAATGTGTCCATGATGGACTCGAAACGTCGATCTTCTTTTTTTGTCAATAAATTTTGTTTTTAAATTATATAGTAAACGTCTGTTGATTCGTAAAAAAAATTCTAAAAGGCATATTTCAATTTCTCAATGAAAAATGCTATTTGTGATATAAAGAAACAGATTTAGAAATAATATGTTTTACTTAATGCTAAACAAAACTCAGAAAGTTAAATAACGTAATTGATAAAAATTGAAACAGACCAATAAAAATTAAAAACCTGTATATCAAACAACAGCAACATATAAAATAAATTTAGAATTAAAAATGAAAGACAAACAAAAGTGGTACCATGTCAATGAAAAATTGCTTATTAAGATAAATTATTTATGGAATTATGGAGAGGGATTAAAATTGGTATATTTAGGACAATCAGAGTGAATAATTATAAGATCCTGTAGTATATAATAATGAGATCAGTGGCATACACAGCAAAAAAAAAAGAAGAAGAAAAAAAACGGTGCATCCAAATTAACATTTTTACAGAAAATGAAGTAAACTTAAAATAGTGATATACAATTTAGATATAAAATGTTGAACTTAACTAAAAGCAAAAAGACCGAGATTAAATTAACTAACATAGGCCCTAATAGATAAAGATTCAAACAGACCGATAAACATCACAGCCTGTATATCATTTAAAAGCAACAATTAGGAATATATTTAGGCCCCATAAAAAATTACCCTCTCCCTTATCACTTTTTGGGATTTTTTTTTTTTTTTGATTGAACATATATTTTTATCTCAAAAAGTCGTTTTTCCATCTTTTTTCACTTGAAACATCAGGATTTCTTGCAAATATGTTTACTAGTACAACAAAACATATTTTTTAATATAAATTTGATTCCATTTTTTATGACTATGACAACTTTGTCCTTAACCATTGATTTATATGCGAACATTGGTAAAATATGGGCGGGGTTAGGAAAGAAAAAAAAAAAAAACCTCCCTCCCTCATCAGTTTTTATTCTTTGATAGGGTGATAAACTAATAATTTTTTTATGGGGCCTTATATATGAAAGATAAGCAAGTGTCAAAATTAGCACCATGTCTCAATGCAAAATTGCTAATAACTAAACAGTAGAAAAATAATAAATGTTTACAAAGATAACATTTCAATTATGGAGCGGTAATGCAATTAATATATTTGTTCTAGCTCTCCATAAAGCAACCAGGTATTGTTTGCAGTGACGATCTACAATTCCTTCTAATCTTTGATTAGGGAATACTGTATAGAGATCGTAGCAAAATATGATGCTTAAACTCAATAGTACCATTTATGAAATTATCCCAAAAAGATTGGTATCCATAATATAACAGCTCTTCTTTAAGGTTAAGGATGTGTTTTTCTCTAATAGAATTAAGATTTTTACATGCAAAAAGAAAATGATCAGTACTTTCAACAGTATCATAGTCACAAAGTTGACAATAACCTGAGCATGTGTTAGACTAACTTTGCTTCCTATACTCAAGAGCTAATGAATTAGTCCTTATTTTAAATTTTAGACTAACCGAGTCAAAATTTACCTTATCGAATAGATAATACTCAGATTTCGGTTCACTTTTATATTTCACATAATCAGATAAGGTTGATTTTGATTTTGCCCTTTCATACCATAATTTAGAATTGTCGTACGCATTTTTCTTAAATGAATGTAGCCAGGAGTTATCTTGTTCTAAATTAAAATACTCAATTAGATCAAATTTCTGTAGTAACTCTTGTATGTGGGTAATTCATTTCCATTTGACATTATGTCTGAACTCCATTAAAGATTTACAAAGTAGTTTTTGCCATCTACTATCATCCATACTTTTTAGCCTATTGAAATAATTCATTCTAACTCTGTTATGTGTGTGAAAAATAGATTCCCATCCTAAATCACAAAGAAGAGCTTTTTTTGCTCCATTTCTTGGAGCCTTTACTTAGTACAGTTCTCGCCATTCTATATTGTATGTTTTCAAGCTTTTCAATAAAACTTTTTCTGTTACAAAACCAAACAGAGCATGCATAATTAACTTTTGGAAGACCTATTGTTTTCCATAATAGGTCGCTAAGTACACCCTGTTGACTAAATAAGAAAAGAGTTGGCAGCGAAAAGGTTTAATAAGATAACCCATGAAGTCGGCATTGCAGCAGGCCGACTTATTTCCAAAGGATTCCAGACTAATAACATCAAAATGTGAGTAGTATTAATTAAAAAGGTAAATTAAATTAATTAAAGTTATCAAAATATGTAAATACAAACAAACTAATTTGCTAAGTTTTTAGTTGTTCATTATTTAAATATTATTTTAAGTTTTATCTTGAAAATTGCGTTACTTTTAATGGATTTAAGTGAGTTGGGAAGATAGCTCCAATCACGGATTCCTGAGAAATAAAAAGCCGAATTGTTAACTCCGGTAGACCCTAGAGTGACAAAATAGAATTGTTTACCCCTGCTGTTATGACGGTGAAGTTTCGCTATTCTTTGAGGGTTACCCTTCGTGAAAGAAGGGGTATTACCATTGCAAACAATTTTATGAACATGATTCAATCTTAAAACGTGTTTCTAAGTCCCACGTTGATTAGCCGAGCCGTTAAGTCAGGGCACCCGTAACCTTCGGCGCTGGTTCGAAGGGCTCACTCGCCAATGGTTCCGGTGGTGGAACAAGTCTTCTTGGATAAGGACTTTAAACCGTAGGCCCAATGTACGAATTGGCTCGTGTGGACTTTAAATAACCTAATACATCCTTCGAGAAGAGTAGGGGTTATCACGGTGTACTGGTCCCTTCAGTCCTCTGTTGTTTAATGAGTATGCCTTGTCGGTGTGAAGTTCACTGATTGGCATATCCTGGCGCTCGTGCCTAAAGAAATGAAATGAAATGACGTTAAGTAATCCGAGATCGGAAAGTTCTCGGCCCTACATTTAATATAAAGCGTGGCATCTTATTTTAGGCTATTTGCAAGAGTGTTCCAAGATCACTACAATCATCAAAGAGAGCCATAAACGAAAGAGGAAAAAGATAGTCACCAACCATCGAGACCAGCGGTTAAAAAGAAAATTATTAATTTTGCATTTATAGTATTATAGATAAACAAAGATACTTATTCAAATTATTTGACTACTGCAGTGATACCCTATGCACAATGCTATATGAATGTTGTATATAGGCCTATATAAATTATATATATATATATATATTTGATTTACTATTGATTTATAATATATATATATATATATATATATAATATATATTGACTACCTGTCTCTTATACACATAAAGATATTTTGATGAGGAACAGTACGGTATATTTTAAGTATTGGGCGTGATAATTGCAGAAAGCAGGTCTTGAGTAGGTATTTGTTGTGGTGACAACAGGCAGAAATCAGCTCTGGCCAACCACTGCCAGTATATAGGATTTCATAACATCACTATGATGTCTTCATGTTTGTGTCCTAGGTTGTAAGTTTGTATTTATATATCATTATGCAAAACTAAAGCTGCCCTTGTTTGAATTATGCACTTTTTATATGGGTTGGTGGCCTGAAGAAGATGTAAGTTTATTTTGGCTTCTCAAATTAGGATCTTAGCATATGAATATTTCCACAGCAACTATTTGTCATAAACTACGCCCCGGCCTCCCGAGTCCCCCTTTTCAAAATTCCTAGATCTGCCTCAGACATATGTCATTTATTCACTTGTGACAAATGCAACCTTTTCGTTATTGGTTTTTCCTGGAAAAGCCATTGTTTATGTTCTGTTTTGTTTCTTTTTTATTCTTCCATATCGTTTTTCCTATCTTTTTGCACTGGGTTATCCGCCCGGCACTTTGATCACTTTCCACGCTTGGGTCTTTTCCATACTTTGTCGAAGCATATCAAGGATGTGCCTCCTAATATTTAGTGTCAATCTACAGTGGGGTGAGATGTGAGGACCAATTAAAGGGATTTAAGGGCAGACACTCTACACCAGATATTTCAAGAAAGGGTCAACTGATTTGAATTTTAGGGTGTAAATGTGAGGGTTATTCTAATTCGCCCTTGCTAACGCCGAGTTTCCTGTTTTATTTTATTTTTTTACATATTTTGAATATTATTAGCAATCATAGTTCGAGTTTCCCTGACGTCCAGTTGCTTTTAATGTGTTTTAACTTCATAATTTTCTGTATGATTTTATTTTTGTTTTTCGTGTGTTATTTTACGCTCGAATTTTTTTTAAATTTCATCATTTGTCATTATAACAATGAAGAATGTTCTGTTTTTTCAGACATAGTAAGTCTAGTTCTCATTGTTTTTGTAATAAAACTGACATTGACACAAAAAATTGTAAATCATGAAGCATTGACAAGAACCTGACATGTTTTGATTTTTTTTTTTTTACTTACTTTCTACTAATTTTTATGCTCATTACATTATGTATCTAACAACAGGGTTCATACACCTTAGATAACAACAACATTCCGTAACTTTTCTAGACCTAAAATCTAAATTTCCAATACCTTATTTCACAATGTGTTTACGGACTTAAAATCAATTTCAGGTTTTTATACCAAATTGGAATTGTTAAATAAAAATCAGAGTGGCTATTCTTATAGCATTCAAAAAACTACATTTTTTCTTAATGTTTTGAGATATCACATACTTTTTCCTGCTAAATTTGAAATCAATAAGATTAACATTAATTGAGAAAATAATATATTCATCCGTTGTATTGTATCAGGAATATTCATCCCTCGTACATATCAGAAATCTTCGCCAGTCGTCACAATATACAATATTTGAAATCTTTATACATTAGGCAAAAAATTGAAGACTATAAATAGTGTGGTAGACCTATTACTTTATTTTTATTATTCTTTATTATTATCAAATCATCGTATACCGGTACTTTACTACAGGACTTATTTTAAACCATGCATTGGATTTGATCCTAGGTGTCTAGGGACGAAACGACTGTTCTGTGGGGTCGAGTTGTTAGGCTCCAAAGTGACCGGGGCCCGAACCGTGTCGGTATCCAGTACGGAAATCTACATAACCAGACCCCGATGGGGACATGGTACCTATTAACATTATCTTTAATATTTGTATTGTTTTAATACGGTACAAGTTTTCCTGCTGGAGGAGGAGGGGAGTCCGACTAAAATGGCATCTGTTACCACACCCTTCACAACCGAGGGATTCCGCACCCCTGAGCAATGGTGGTATAGGTACAGCATGGATTCCCCTGCCGTCCGACGCTAGGACGAAGTCATCGCATCAAAAACAAACAAAAAATTGCTCACAATGGCAACTGCTACCACGCAACTCCGATGGTTCACACCCCAGGGAAGTGGTGGCGCCAGTTTCCCCCCCCCCCACTCCGTCGCCCCGAGAAATCCAGCAAACTTTGGTTGGTTGCATTTTTTTTTGCTATATTTTTTAAAAATTGGATATCATGTAGAGTAGACATTGATAAATCAAAAAAGTATGTGCAACATTTTTTTTTCATACGTAAGGGGGTTTGCCTGCAGTTTTAAAATGGCCGCCATTTTTCCTAAAATTGTCACTAATACTGTAGGTTTATGTCATTAAAATGCAGTATTCAATTGGAAATTCACTCATAACAATGCTAACAACAGTTAAATATTGTACACATTTTTGAGCTATTACAATTTAAAATGGCTGCTATTTTCCATTATTTTAGCTTTTTAGCATACATATTAATATAATAATAACCGATCTGTACTGTAAAACGAAAACGTGTGATACAGCTAGTTATATGCAATTGCCATATGCTGTTAATGGTTATTACCATAATATATATGTGATATATATATATATACATATATATAAATATATATATATATATATATATAGAAAACATATTATAAAACAACAATCAGCAATAGCTTGATATATAAATATATATATATATTTATATATGTATATATATATTATATATATATATTATATATACATATATATATATAATGTGTGGGTGGTGTGTGTGTTAGTATTATGTAACCATATTACATACAGTGATTTACTTAATATTTACCTACATCAGTGATTTTATAATATGCTAATGTTCATTATCACTTTCTTCATCACTGTCACTGTCTGATGAATCAGAAACACTAGAAAACAATGGAATGTTGTTGCAGGAATTCCCTTCCGCTTCGCAGTTACACATCTCAGTACACTAAAGATTATTTCTACTACACATGCATGTATTATTTGAACATGTACTTATTGAACAGGTACATCTGATAAGCTCAGCAACTGCTTCAGGGGCAGCCTGCTTTTCCGACAAGACAGGTTTCAATTTACCATCAATTTTGCATGGATCAGGGATTTCTGGATGAATAAAAGTATCCTGGCTCCATATATTGGCCTGCAGATGTGCATGCATTATATGCTGATATAAGGCTCCTGCAGTTGGTGGCAGCTCATCTACACCTTGATTGTTTGGCAGAGTTTTGAATCTTTTCCATCGTAAAATTGAGGCATCTTTAGCAGATACTTTCTTCGTTCAGAGAAGACTACACAAAAACTCCTTGCATCCCATTCTCACATTAATGATGGCATATTTCCTTTCCCACATGCTTGACCAAAGCATGTAAACATGAGGTGGTGATTTCATAAACATCTTAAGGGCTGTTTTTTTCCAACACCATTAATATGCCCTGTAATAATTTTTATCACAACCGGTGGTAGCATGGAAGCCTGGTAATGTCACTGCTCTTTCTGGTCCAAGATGATCGTCTATTGGCTGAAGAGCCACTCTTCTTCTGGTTTCAGTGGTACCTGTCATAATTCACACGGCAAGATGTCAAAACAAACACTCCAGAGCATCCTCCAGCAACAGCTGTAAGCACACAAGAAGAAGCTGATGCTCTAATGATTCCCCATGGCATAGAAGTGGCCTCTGAATCTGGGAATGATACAGACTGGTTTGTATTGATCTTCAGAAGACTTCCACAACTTGACATGAATACTGCAATTTGTTTAGTCTTCTCGGAAAGAAGAAAGTATCTGCTATATTGCGTGCACATCTGTCTTGTCAGAAAAGCAGGCTGCCCCTGAAGCAGTTGCTGAGCTTAACAGATGTACCTGTTCAATATGTAGGCCTACATGGTCAAATAATACATGCATGTGTAGGAGAAAATTAATAATCTTCAGTGTACTGAGATGTGTAACTGCGAAGCGGAAGGGAGTTCCTGCAACAACATTCCATTGTTTTCTAGTGTTTCTGATTCATCAGAC